TACATATGCGCATTGAATACAACCACCACCATGTAGCATCCCTTGCGTATCCTTAAAGCTTCAGCAGCAACTTTAAGCTTAAAGCTTGTTAAAGCACGCTTTTAATACTGGGTTTCTTTTCGTCCTGTCATTTACACAGTATTTTATTGCTATGCTGTTATGCTACTTATGTCCATTGTTTATAACAATAAATAACTTTTTTGCACGTTCCCCTAAGCAGCTGTCATTCCGTTATCCTTGCATCAAGTCTGTTTCCTGTCAAATGAGAAACTGAATATACATAGTGTGAAAATATGTAGTGCGAGTAAGTTTTGTGTTGAATTTAACTAGCAAATGATTAGTAAATAAATGTAGCACCAAGTAAATAAAAACGTAGTCAATGAACTTTGTAAAGCGAGTGTTACCCGAATAGGAAATGTGTTGAATACTCATACAGTTTAGTTTTAGAGCTAGAAACTTTAATGGATTTGTAGTTAGTGAATGTTCTAAATATTGGATACATACAAACGTACATACATACCTATTGAAGCAACATCGTGAAATTCGTAGCAAAATTATGTGCGTTAAGGCTCGAATGTCCGCCGCAGACTTGCACAGCAACCTTGTTTGCCACTTAAATTAAAGTTGACCTCGCTTTGAAGTGGGCGCATGTGACACATAGGAATATATTTTATTTTGTTTTGAGAATTCTAACCACTCGCAAAACTCGCAAACACCCACCGTTGCAACATGAAAGTGATGCGCATCCGCCACGCGAAGCTCATAGTAACCTTAGTGGTCATAGCCAATCTGATACTTTTCTACTACTCCTGGAAATCGACGATTTGGAAGAGTCTTGCATCCACACTCATGCTACCGTCAGACGCAGCCGAGCGCGCAGCTGCCGCTAACAATGAGCTAATGGGCGCCGGCAGTGCTGCGTCCGGGCGCGCCGGTAAATCACCGCGTGATAAATTGAAGAACGCCAACAAACACATACGCAAGTCTATCACCATCGTTTTTCGTAGTTTTTACAATTTCGAAAACGATCTGAAAGCATCAATTGACAATCTGCTCGACATTGTGCCCAATTTGTCAGTATTAGTATTATTGGAGGGCGCGCCCTATCCGCCAGTTTCGTATGAACGCAATATTACTGCCAGCGGTGAGGAGAATACCGTTCGTTTTATCAATCTCGGCTTTGATGTGCAGAAAACGCCCGAGCAGTTGAATGCGCTTGCAGCGATACACACTAAGTATGTGCTATTCCTGCCGGATAGCGTGCGCTTAACCAGCAAGAATTTGCTGCAGAAGATCTTGCGTGAAATTAATTCGGCTATGCCACTGGGAGCTGGCATAGCGGCAAGAGCGCCGCTTAGAGCGGGCGAAGCCAAGCACCAGCAGGAGGCGCGCGCCTTGGTACCACCTGTCGGTCCTGAAGAGACGGTAAAGCGCATAGTGATAGTGCCATTCGCTGGAAATATGAAGTCATTCAGTAGTTGCACACAAATAAATTTGGATCTACCCAATTGGACTATACAATATGTGGCGGTTAATAGCAGTGACAAGTGTGATTTGGTAGGTGACAAAGATTATGC